TAGAGACTTTATAATCATTATGCAGCAAACATATATGCATATAAATCAAGTGTGTGCAAAATTTTGTAAACTTTGACACGAAAGAAAGAAGCTTTTACGTCAAATTTAAACTTTTTAATTTATAAATTTGCTATAAGGACTTCTACCAATCTCTGCCAATGTAATATGAAATTAATATCTCGCATACTTTTTCATATCTCGTTTATCTTACAAGATTCCCAGTTGAGAAAATTAAAGAAAATGGGTAAACGCATGTGCTGTACATGTGTTTAGGTTCAATACAGAACTATGTTCCTGGACATAGCGAACCTATACAATATGCATATGTATAAAATTACCATGAATATGTATGAAAAGAAGATACATGCTTGAATAGGCTGTAAATTGCACAAAAGACAATGTACATACTGTATTATAAGTCGTGACGTATTTATAAATTAATTTTTAACTTGCGAAAAGTTGCTTGATTCGATGCACAAAAACGATGGTCTTTATAAAATTTATGTTTATGTGCACTCAAAAAAACAACATATGTATATGTATGTTAACGTCTTTCTCGTTACTCGAAAGTGATCACGATCTTCGATAATAACGAAGTTTTTAGAACGTCTAAAAAGAACCGTTGCAAGTATTAAGGTGTCCATACGTGCGCCATAATAATAATAATAAATGTATTTCAACGTTTTAGGGTCGAAATCCCACGGTGGTGCAACCTGCGCGAGTAGCAGTGCGAGTAGTCAAGTTTTAAGTGTGAAGTCCAGCATCAGAGTGGGTAACGCAGCCAGTAATTCTGTGGAGAGTGGTGGGGGGGCGTTGGCACATGACGGGGCAGGCACTAGTGGCATCACCACAGCCACTGCCAATCCACCTGTGTCTGCCGCCGCCACTGCCAACCCTACACACCCTCATCCTACGCAAAAGCATATATTACGTTCTCGCACAAAATTATCCAGTGAATCTAAAGAACTGTCAAGTAATAACAAAACCTCGGGAAAGCATAAGAAAGACACGACGACAGGCACTTGTTCAAGGTAATTGATTCGATGATGATGATGACAATCACATTTCAAACACATACGCGCGTTTAATATATGCTATCACGTTACTATAACAACTTGCTTGCATAGGCATCGTTCCTCGTCACGTGCGAGAAAAGCAGTGATAGAAGGAGGTTCCGGTGGAAGTGTAATGTCAGGTACTGAATCCGTGACTAACAGTGCCACTCCGACAACTGTATCGTCTACAGTTTCTGGTAATCAGTTAGTGTCCACGACAGGCGAAGACGAATCAGCGTCTACAGCCACGTCTGCCACTGGTAAGCCTTTGTTATCAAATGTACATAAAATGTCTGTGTGTTCTATTACGAAATTGTTGAATTCTTGGAATGGTAATTGTTTATTTAGCTAGTGGAGGACCATCCGGAATGTCGGGCACTACTGGAGATAGCGAAAGCGACGACGGTGAGGTAGGAAGGCTGCAAGCGCTGCTTGAAGCTAGAGGCTTACCTCCTCACGTCTTCGGCGCATTAGCACCGCGAATGCAACATTTATTAAACAGAAGCATGGGTGCAAGTTCTGGTATTGTACTCCTTGTTAACTGAAATTCGAAACTATTTGTCATTGAATGTTTTTAGGCAATAGTATGTTTATTTCAGCTGCTAAAGCACAGCAATATCTGGCTGGTCTCCAAGCTGTCGACGACGAAGGGGAACAGTTACAAGCTGTTATTGGAATGGGCGAGATCCTCGTTATGGGAAATGAAGACACACTAGCCGGATTCCCTGTGAAGCAAGTGGTCGCAGCGTTAATCAACTTACTCGGGATAGAACACAATTTTGTGATAATGACACACGCGTGTCGCGCTCTTACTTACATGATGGAAGCTTTACCTCGATCGTCGACAGTTGTCGTCGACGCTGTCCCAGTATTCTTGCAGAAACTTGAATCGATCGAGTGTATGGATGTGGCAGAACAATGTTTAACGGCGTTAGCCATGCTGTCCAGAAGACACAGCAAAACTATTTTACACGCAGTACGTGGATTATCATAAGTTCACGCGACGCAATCAGTTAAAGCAAACATTATCTTGTGACCGATCAATGTATTCACTTTTAGGGAGGAGTATCTGCTTGCTTGAAGTTCGTCGACTTTTTCAATATCACGGCACAACGAGCTGCTTTAACGATCACGGCGAACTGTTGTCAAAATCTTCATCCCGATGATTTTCATTTAGTGGTCGACAGTTTACCTTTACTGACGAGCAGGCTGACCAATCAAGATAAGAAAAGTGTCGAGTGTGTTTGCCAAGCGTTCAGTCGCTTGGTGGACAGTTTTCAACACGATCCAGTAACTCTGCATAAAATTATCAATGCGGAACTTCTCCAGAACTTACAGCAACTGGTAAGATGTTTCCTCCTTTTTAATACATTCCTAAATTGTTATTCAGTATAAACATTTCCCTGTGTTTCAGCTTATGATCACTCCGCCTGTTAACAGCATTGGTAACTTCATAACAGTGTTGCGAATGCTATCTGTGATATCAAATCGCTGTCCCGACTTGGCACAATTGCTTTTGCAACAAAACATAGCGTTCACGCTGAGTTATCTTTTAACTGGCTCGCTAGAAGTGAAAACTGAAGACGTAGAATTAGTGCCGCGGTCGCCGCAGGAATGGTTCGAAATCACTTGTTTGATCGAAGAGCTAATGCCACCGTTGCCGACAGACGGCATATTTAGTGTAAATAGTTTACTCGAAAGGACCAGTAGTCAACAGGAGAATGTTCATTGGGAGTGGCGCGATGAAAGGCATTGTTGCCATCCATTTAGTACTATTGATTCTAGAATTATCGAGGTATTACGATTTCTACATGTGCGTCAGGGATTGCAGAAGATTGAATGAAAACGTTCACGTTATAAATCATTTTCAGATGGCATTTCAGAATGGTGAGGACGAGATTTGTCTCTCCTCCTTAGGACGAACTTACACGATAGATTTGACTGTGATGAAACAAATTAACGAAGATATCGGAGTGGCAAGAAGCATATTTCGGAGAGTGAATACGCATCCTGCAGAAGGGAAAAGTCCTACATGTTCATCCAAGTAAGGATCTGCGATAAAAATTCTTGTCTTTAAATTATTTTCTTTGTCATTCATAGGTATTTTAATTCTTATCAAATTATGATTTTAGCATGGACGTTGTACCACCGGTGATTGAAACAAACGAATGGTTGGTGTCATTTATTCGGACTCTTTTCTCCGTGTTGTACGAAGTCTACAGTAGTTCAGCCGGTCCTGCTGTCAAATGTAAATGTCTTCGAGCTCTCCTACGTATGGTCTACTACGCGTCTACTGATTTACTTAAGGTAAACATAAACAACTGAGAATATAATGGTATTCGTGTTCGTTCACCATTACGTATGGTTTCTTATTTTTATTATCGATAATTAAGGATGTCTTGAAGAACCAAGTAGTTTCATCGCACATAGCGGGCATGTTGGCATCCCAGGATTTACGAATTGTTATCGGAGCTCTACAGATGGCAAGTATATTGATGAAGAGACTACCACAAGTTTTTGGGGTACACTTTCATCGCGAAGGTGTCTTGCATCAAATACGTCAACTAGCTGATCCCGAAGTACCTCTTGGTGTTTCACCACCCAAGTGCCCTTCTGGTAATAATAGTAATAATAATTTATAGTCATCAAGTGAAACGAATTCGTAATCTAAAACAATGATTTAACGTTTCATCGTTTCTAGGTACGTCATTACCAAGCCCACAACCAGGACCATCGAGTACATCGCTTTCTTCCGCCACGATGTTTTCATCTAGTAACGCCACGTCTCCGATCGCCTCTCCGTCAACGAATGGTAATATATTATTCGGGACAATTGCAACATGCCAATTGAAACCGAATCTCTCAGCATCAATGGAAACGCATACTAGAAATGAATTAAACTCTACCGTAGATGATGTAACTACACCACAAAGTGCTCATTTGTAAGTAGGCAATGGATGAACATTCATCTTTTAAGCACTATCGAAACGCGTGTTGACATGTTCCAACGTTATTAGGAGAATCGGAGATGTCTTAAAGAGGAAAAGGCAGAACAAGAAGGGACGATTTTCTAGACTAGGGGGTACTACACCACAACAAACTCAACAGCCCGAATCACTTTTCACCGGTTTCGCCCCTAAAAATAATCGTTTCCTAGGCAATCTTAATCCAGCTAGGTGGGGACGGAAATCATCGTCCTCGGGTTCTACTAGCGATAAGAGGGACACGAGTTCGTCGACGAATTTATCCAAGCCACCAAGTAATTCCAGTCTGACAGGAGGTAACCGGGACAAGGCTAAGGCGTGGGTACGCGAACAGGCAGCTCAATTCTTGGCTAGATATCAGGACGATGCTCCATGCACGCATCCTGCTATGACAGTTCTTTCGAGACTCACCGCAGCCATACAACGGTTACAATCAAACGTAAGTAGCACGTGTTAATGCAAACATACTGCTCCAAAAAATTATAGTATCATGAAATTTGTATCAAGAATTGCCCAAGTTTGGAAGATGATTACTCAGGAATTATGAAAGTAGAGATTTTAACTTTTAATTTAAAAGAAAAATCATATTACGATAATTTATTGCTGAGTAATCATTTTCCAAACTTGGCCAATTTTCGAAGAAACTTCGTGATGCCATTATTTGTTTGAGTTGTGTATAAAATAATTTTAATACTCGACACGTGACACAATTCAATTTGAATTTAAAGGAATTGGATGAGATGTTATCAGCGCTTACCGAATTGCGAGATATAGTACTTGAAAACGATATATCTCCGTTCGAAATGAATTATAGCGGTCTTATTAAGGCTCTGCTCAACTACCTCACTACTACCGATGCTCCTGGCAATCGTTACGATCGACTTCGCATGTTCTGGAAATTGTTTGCAGAATCAGCTGTAAGTAAAAAGAATCCGACTTGAAAGCTCGTTGCTACAGCCAAGTTCCTTCTATCAAATATTCGTTTAATATGCAATTTCACTTATAGATGCAGCAGAGCAACAATATTACAGATCTTAATCCTGGAGCGTTTGGTGCTCTAGTAGCGAAATTAAATAGTTGCGTTGCACAATTAGAACAGTTTCCTGTGAAAGTACATGATTTACCAGCAGGATCTGGAGCTGGTCGTGGGGGTACTAGTGCTCTTAAGTTCTTCAATACACATCAGTTAAAGGTAAAATTCTGTCTTAAAATGCGTTACAAGCAACAATGGCATGCCAATTCTGTTTACGATTTTACAGTGTAATCTCCAACGACACCCAGACTGTAATAATTTAAAGCAATGGAAAGGGGGTACCGTCAAAATAGATCCTCTTGCGTTAGTACAAGCAATTGAACGTTATTTAATGGTTCGTGGGTATGGTAGAATACGAGAGGCTGAGTCTATGGTTAGTGACGATGATAACAGTGAGGACGATATAGACGATACATTGGTAATGCTCATTTATTAAAAAGAAATAAGATAAGAATGATAATTAAGAATGTTCTAAGTATATTTTTAATTTGTAGGCAGCAGTAGTTATAAGTCAAGGATCAGCGAAACATAAACTCCAATTCTTGATTGGAGACGAAGTGCTGCCTTTTAATATGACTGTTTATCAAGCAGTTAGACAGTTCGGTTGTTCTGGAATGGATCATTCTGAAGCGGAAGCTGATGGTGAACCACCTCTTGGTCACGATGCTGTATGGGTACAAACTCATACAATTTATTATAGGTAATTTTTTAATGTGAATACATATTGTTATTTTCTTCTAAGATGGAACTATTCGTTTAAAGCAATCTCATTTTTGTACGTGCAGGCCTGTGCCAGAAGAAGAGACTACGACATCGCCAAAACCGGGATCGAGTTCGCAGGGTAGCAGCCGGAAAGGCAAAGGAAAAAGTACAAAGATCAGTTCGAAACGAAAAGAGGATAGTTTATGGCTCGAAGGGCTAGTTCCTCCTCAACGATGTCCACTTGATCCTTATCTGTCACCCACGTTACCACCTTCGGTCACAATTACTGACGCTTCACTGGACGGTTTATGCCTGCTACGTCTTCTACACGCACTAAATCGTCATTGGGGTGTACTGTTCCCCCATTTGAAGAACTTGAGTTTACTCTATCCGCAAGACTTTATTAACAATAAGATCGCTGCGAAAGCAAGTCGGCAGCTGCAAGATCCTTTGGTGATCATGACTGGAAACTTACCTTTGTGGCTGCAACAAATTGCTACAGTCTGGTGAGTGCCACGGAATTCATATTCATATACAGGAATATAATATGAAGGAAACTGAATGCTATTTTCTCTCTTGTATCTTTGAAATTGTGTGGTATTGTATATTCTTTTCGTCTTTCAGCCCGTTCCTGTTCCCATTTGAAACGAGACAATTATTGCTGTACGCAACCTCGTTCGATAGAGATAGAGCGTTGCAACGTCTCTTAGATTCCGCGCCAGAATTATCAGGATCGGATAGTCAAGAACGCGTCACTCCACGGTTAGAACGTAGGAAAAGGACTATCTCCAGAACTGATATACTGAAACAAGCGGAACAAGTCATACAAGACTTGGCATCAAGTAAAGCCTTGCTTGAAGTGCAATATGTTAATGAGGTATGTGTTTAATATCCTTTTTTGATATAATTCCTCTTCTTACGAGTTTCCTCAATGTAAGTGTCGTTTTACAGGTTGGTACCGGCCTTGGTCCAACTTTGGAATTTTATGCTCTAGTCTCCAAGGAATTACAACGTTCCGATCTTGATCTTTGGCATGGTAGCTCGACTTCTACTGAAATGGGATATGTTAATTCGTCGCAAGGACTTTTCTCGATGCCAATCCCATGGAATACTAAAGTATCGCACCTTGCTAAGCTTAAGACAAAGTTTAAGTTCCTTGGAAAGTTTATGGCAAAAGCGATATATGATTCAAGAATGGTACGATCTTTTATTTGGATCATTAAATTCGACTCTAGCTATGTTTCCCTATCTGTAACATTCTTTTAATTTCATTTGTTACAGTTGGACTTACCGTTCAGTTTGACTTTCTATCGTTGGTTGTTGGGAGAGGAACATACGTTAACATTAGCAGACTTAGCACACGTATGTCCGGATGTACATCGAACTCTTAGTAGATTACAGGAAATCGTTAGACAGAAAGAGACAATTGAGAAGGATCAGACATTGAGGGCACACGAGAAAGCACAATTAATAGATTCGCTAAATTTAGACGGTTGTCCAATTACGGATCTTGGCCTTGTTTTTGAATTGCCGGGTTACGAGAACATCGAATTAAGGAAAAATGGAAGCGAGATACCTGTTACCATTTACAATCTAGATCAATACGTGAAGGTACGTTCATTTGTACGTTTATTTGATAATGTCATTACTGCTGTATCATCTAACATTATTGTTATACTGTTTTACAGTTGGTGGTACATTGGTTTTTGTACGAAGGTATCTTCAGACAAATGGAAGCATTTAGGGAAGGTTTCGAGTCCGTGTTTCCACCGTCGCAACTGCGTCTATTCTTCCCTGAAGAACTTGAAGCTGTGTTCTGTGGACATGCACAAACTGGTGGACAGTGGGATGTTAAAACTCTTTCGGAGTGCTGTAGGACTGATCACGGTTATACTCCAGATTCTCGTGCTATCCGTTTTCTGTTTGAAGTTATGTCGAAATACAACAGTGAAGAGCAAAGGCAGTTCGTCCAGTTCGTCACAGGCTCACCGCGATTACCGGTTGGAGGTAAATATTCAATCCCATTCCCGAAATTTTATTAACACTCGGAATTCTTATGAAATGTCCGTGTTGCAGGATTCAAGAGTTTAACGCCACCATTGACGATAGTGCGTAAAACGTTTGATCCGTCTATGAAAACAGACGATTTCTTACCATCCGTAATGACTTGTGTTAATTATTTAAAACTGCCTGATTACACAACGTTAGAAATAATGCGGGAGAAGTTGCGAATAGCCGCACAAGAAGGACAACATTCGTTCCACCTATCCTAGAAACGGATGGAAAACCGGCGCGCCACTTGGTCTTTCGCTAACGCATTGTTCAGGTTGAGAGAAATTCTTCAAAGGCCATTTAAGATATTAAACGAAATAGCTACGTTACGTTCGAAAGTCGATAATCGTAAATTTGCACTTTATACGAGCTTTTATCGAAAATACTTTTCTCTTGATTTTAGTGATAATTCATTTAAATAAATATTAATTTGGTGTTCATCTGTTTACTTTCAAATTTGAATTGTGATATATTTTCTCAAAAAACAAAACTAAAAAAAAAATGGATCGAAGGAAGTGCAAAGATGATATTAGCTCTACTGTATGAGTTTCCTCTTGTGGTATTACAAACCAGGTAGCGCGGATGCTGCCTTGTTCTAGGAAACTTATCTTTGATGTGTTACAATAATTAATAAAAGTTGTAAATATAGTTTAATATGCGCAAGTCTATATAAATACTTTATATAATAGTAACACGAGGAAAGAAAATGATATTGCTACGAAACTCTATACTAATTAAATATAATTTAGTCTGAGGGGACGTCTATTAGATATAAGTAAATTTTATATCAGTGGTGCATTTAGCATCGCCATGAATCGCCAATCTCATGCCTCACAATTTTCAATTTAATTAACTGTGAATTAAGAATCAGGAAATGATGAAAGACGAAGCAGAGATATGTGCTGACGAAACGGCTCATATTTCCATCTACTTACATGCAAGACAGACAAACAATAACTCCGAATATAATAGCGTGTTCTTTTGCGATCATCGTTTTTAATTTCATAACCGATCTCTTGTGTTCGCTACTTAGTTTCCAGTGCCCGAGCACTGCGCGAATTAACCGTGCAACACCTCCTATACAATTAAGTTCATTCTATGTATCACCAATTAAACTTATTTGATATTTTCATTTTATAGGTAAGATAGTCCAATTACTTTACTTAGCTGTGTATGAAATGCAGCCAGCATCGCCAGAGTCATCATTAATGATATAACGAATTGAAGAAAATTCTTATATCATCCACTTATTTACAGGCGAAATATCTATTTATGAAAAAAAATGTACGACTGTATAATACGAAAATAGAATGGATATAAAAAAAAATCAGCGAAGCTGGTGTGTCAAATGGATTATACAAGGTACATTACTTTCTTATATCTCTGTAGAAATACGATTCTATATGAAAACTGTGAAAAATACGAATTGATCAAAAGTAGGGAGGAGGGATAATACGCGACTGTTTGTTTTACATTTATATTGTGTACCATTGCTTGAAATGATCAATATATATCTACATCATTTACACAAGACCAAATCGGATGATTAGCGATTTTGTTCACTGCTGTTAAATGGCTTTTATTTTTGGTAACAATGATAATAAGATTGCTTCGGAATGCCGTTACATTTTTCAGACGCGAAAATTTCTTTTTCGTTTTGCACTATGCGGCAGAATTCATTTAGCCAACAGTCAATATTTTTGTAATTAATAATTGCGTGTTCGATGATAAAAACGTAAAACATGTTACACTTATATTTTTGGATTATATTTCTAATAACAATGAATTACAACTGGTAATGTATACACAATATATAGGGAAACAAAATTATTCATGAAATGTAAAAATTATGTGAAAATACAAATGCATGTAGAATATAACGATTTAGGATAGGACTGAAAACTATATCAGTAACATTATTAACGAAACTTATATTTATATCAGTTCATTAGCATAAACAAGATTTACTTTTATTCAGACCGCATACTTTGTTTCCTTTAGCAGTTTTGAATAAACGAAAAATACAAATGAAATATCTTTCCAACATTAACAATATTTTGTAAGGGACACGCATTAACGCAAGCTTCTAATAATTAGGAAGAGATAGTTTATTACGAATATCAAAAAAAGAATATTAACACTGGCTTTTATACAATTATCGTTCTTATTGTTAATTCCATTTTCTCCACACGTATCACCTTTTTCAGACGTATCATCTTATTTGTTTGTGCAACTTTTTAAATACACATACTTAACCATCCTATTATGAAGCATACTCCACCTATTGGTGCTAGTGTATTGAACTGTTTATTACCCGTAAATGCAAAATAGTAACAAGGCCCAGAGAACATTATTATTCCGGAGAGTAGGAACGTTGCAGCCTAAACGAGACATTAATATGATAAATGTACTGCAAGGCTGACTACGTGTAACATTAAAATTAGAAATTGAGTCGTGCATACCAAGAAGGGTTTTCTACAAAGGGGCACTCCTAAAAGTGCTAATGTATGGACAAAGTGGTAACGACTTGCAGTTTCGAACACTTGCTTTAGATCAACTTTACTCTCCTCTGGATACTGTTCTAAAAAATTACCTAAAATAAATCTAAGTAGTTCATTTTATAAAAAGATATAAAAAAACCAATCGTCTCATACGACAACAAGAATATATGTGTTCGCAAGCAATATCAATCAAAACTTCCTGTTAAACAATGTTCTTATATGTTGGATAAATATAAATTTCATCTTACTATGGGCTCCATAAGCACCGAGACCTACAGCTACTGCTCCACTTATAGCAGCGAGTCTAACATATGGCCCTGTAGCTGCAGCCAATTTCCACAAGAGTACTGGTGGTGGCATTTTTGTTTCTGCTCTTGGTACCAAATATCCTGTTACCTGAGTGCGATTATAATCCACATTAATATTCTCATTATTGGGCATTTTTTTAAAATATAATAAAAGAGAAGCTTAATAATATTAATATTAATAATATTATTATTATTACTAACATCTGGTAAGTATTCAAATATTTCATAAGAA